GGGGGGGGGAGGGGGCGCTCCACCTGTTCACGTCCCACGTCCCACCTTAAGCCCTTAATGTATTCTCCCAGCACTTGCCGTTTCTGAGGCTTAAGGACTGATTCTGTGACTCGAGGCCACCGTTAGCCCCACTGGGTCCATGGCTTAGACTTCGGTCCCCATGTCCCCTGTGGCTGGCTCTCCCTGTGCGGAGCACATAGCTCTGCTGTGACAGCTAAAGCTAATGCTGGGCTGCTTAGGTCTGGTCCCTGGGCCAAAACTAAGTCCAGTGGCCTTTCTGGACTTGAGACTGCCCCGACCACTCCTGTAAGGTTCTCATGCAGTCATTCGAGTGTCTACCGAGTGCTTACTATGTGCAAAGCACGTGCTAGAAGCTGGCGCGGCAATGCCAGGCTCCCTGCTTTGGCGGAGCCCGTCTCCTGAGACAGAGGTCTTAGGGAGGCAGACATGAAGCAGCTAATTCCTCTGTTACATACTTAATTATAATTGCGATAGTCCTGGTGGGGTGTCAAGGGAGCATCACATTCATTATCTTACTTACTACACATTTTTAAAAAACCCTGTGAGCTGGTTATAATCTCTGGCTTACAGACGAGGAAACTGAGGCTCGGTGAGGTTAAGTAATTGGCCTAAGCTCACTCAGCCGGTCAGCCACAGACATGAAATTTAACCTGGGCCTGTCATTCTAGAGCCTGGGAAATGAGTGTCTTGCTTCAGCCCATAATACTGAGTCCCTCAGGGGGCCTAGCCTGAGGGTAAGTTTCTATACAGCAGAAATTGCAGTGTGTGACGACGCTATCGAAAATGTCTTAAAAAAAAACACCCTAGTATTGCTCTTCTTATAAAATAATATTATTGCAAGTTAAAAGAAAATAAATTCACCATAGTACCAACATCCCAACAAATGCAGTTTTGTTTTTTTTTGGTGTGTGTAGAAATTCAAGTTCTTGTCTTCCTCTATTATTATAATTATAAATATAGATACAATTTTTTATTCTTATTTTCACTTAACATTACACCAGCATTACCATGTTGATTAAAATCTGTACTAATGACCTCTCATGCAGCGTGGTATAATAAAAAAATAATCCTAATAATAGCTAATACTTCTATACCTGTTATGGAAACTACTTATATAGAAACTTATTTAATCCATTGAGAAAGGCACTGTTATTGTTTCCACTTTATAGGTGAGGAAACAGAGACAGAGAGTTTAATTGACTTACTCAGAGTCGCACAGCTAGTACTCGGTGGAACTGAGTTTTGAGTTCAGGTCGCCTTGCTTTTCCATCTGTACTTGTAACAACGTTGGAGTCGGATAAATCTGGGTTTGAATTTAGGCTCTGCCTATTACCAGCTGTGTGACCTTGAACAAAGTAATAAGTAGTGGGAACAAATAATATTCACTTTGCAGAGCTGTGGTGAACATAATAGAATAAATATAAGAATGCCTGACACGTAGCAGGCACTCAAATAATCAAATTATTTCTGTCATTGGACATTTAGGCTATTTCTAGTTTTTCATGATTATTGATAACACTGCAACAACTATGTTTGTACACGTGGGTTTTTCCTTCTTTTGGATTCTATCCTCAGGCGAGAGCCCCAAAAGGGTTATTACTGGGTGAAAGAAGATTAGCATCTCATTGGTTAAGTATTGCCAAATGTACTTCCAAAAGAGGTTTTTAATTTGCAGTATCTGCATTTATCATCTTCCCTACGGCCTTGCTAGTCTTAATTTAATAACTATAAAAGGTAATATAGATACATTTTTTGACTGCTTACCATGTACCAGGCAATCTAAGTGGTTTACCAAATATAACCTTTTTAAATTTTATTTTAATTCTCACCCGAGGATATTTTTTCCATTGCTTTTCAGAGAGAGTGGAAGGGGGGGGAGAGAGAGAGAAACATCGATGTGAGAGGGACACATCGATTGACTGCCTCCCGCACGCACCCCGACGGGCCGGGGATGAGCCTGCGGCCGAGGTGCATGCCCTTGGCCAGAGCTGAACCCGGGACTCTTCAGTCTGCGGGCCGATGCTGTAACCACTGAGCCAAACCGAGCAGGGCCCAGATACAATCTTAATCACTGCCAGTCCAACAGGAAAGCATTATCTACATTTTACCCATAAAATGGCAAAGCCAGGGTTTGAAACTCTGGTCTGAAACTAAAGCTTTCTAACTTTTGAGCCTGTGCTCTTCGCTCCCTACCCGGCTCCGCACTGTTGCTTCCAGTTTATCCATGGTCTTAACTTAAAACAACCG